GAGAACTGTTTAAGGCTCTAGAGTATAAAGTTGCATACTGTAACTCCTGTTTCCAAAAGTGGTTTTCTCACTCTCTATCATGTATTCCTAATAATATGCTTTCTGAATATTTTTCTATCATGGAGTCCATTAATTTCTCAAATAATATACTATTATGTGTAAAACAGCTAGCCAGTGGGAAGCTGTGAAAGACTGAAGGGAAAAGGAGAAGGCGGTGACAGAGGATGCAATGGTTAGCTAGCATCACTGACTCAATGGACACGAACTTGAGCAAACTCTTGGAGATAGTGGACAAAAGAGCCTGGCATGCTGTAGCCCATGGGGTTGCAAAGACTCGGGCACGACATAGCAACCAAACAACAGCAAGATGGAAGGCTGTGGAACACAGGGAGCTCAGCTGAGTGCTCTGGGATGATCTAGAGGGGTGGGAAGTGGAGGTGGGAGCGAGGCGCGAGAGGGAGTGCATATATATACACTGCTGCGGAACTGAGGTTAACACTACATTGTAAAGCAGTAACTCCCCAAGTGAAAAATAAACACACGGCACCCTTGAAATCAGAGGCTGGACCTTTCTGTCAAAAAAGGGAACTGTACATACTTCTGTGAAATATACACACACTCACATTTTAAAAGCACATTTCAGTTTAGAAAAAAGCCAGATTTAACTCACAGCAAAGCCTTCTAAGTTATGTAAGTGAGCTGAGAAATGCTTTCTTTGGTTAACTGTGGAGTATTGATTTTTATCTGGTTTTTGTTATTCCTTATAAATAATCTTCTAAAGTAGTTTTCAAAGAAGATTGCAAATTCAAGGAACTAAATGTAAGCCAAAATTCTAACACTTATATAGTAATATGCTTCTTTCTATATAATAGTCCACATCATCCTAGATACTAGTAAGTCAAACAGCTGTCTTAGAAACAATTGCTTAGACTTTTAAGCATAAAAACAACTTTTATGAATATGTATTTATAAAAGACAAGTTTTAAATTCCTGTGATATGAAAGAGGTTCTGATGAAATATCTTTTCTCTGATGTCTTTGAAATGGTTGAAAGAGTATCAAATTTGGATTTTGAAGACTGCAGGTGTGAGTACTAGCTCTGTTTCTGATATTAGACAGATAATTAAATAAAGACTTTATGCTCCTTTGGATTTTGTGTGAAGACCAATAGGATGAAATAAGTTACATCGTTCCTTCATTCTGTCTTGTCTGTATAGAAACTGAAGTCATGCATTAGAACCAGATAAGTTACAAAAGAAGAGGGGGGATTTTTAACATATTGTAAGTTAATCTTCTCCTTTATCCAATCAATTAAAACACCGCATGGGTGCTAAGTCACTCCAGTCATGGCCAGGTCTTTATGACCCTATGGACAGTAGCTACCAGGCTCTCTGCTCTTGGGATTCTCCAGGCAAGAATACTGGAGTGGGTTGTTATGTTCTCCACGGAATCCTTCCGATCCAAGGATCACACTTGGGTCTCTTGTCTCCTGCACTGGCTCTTTACCACTAGCCCCAACAGGGAAGCCCAAACCAGGAGTATAGTGTACCAGTTTATGTCCAATGTGGCACACACATTGTGATGACCAAGTTTGAAAAGGCCTAGTTCCCTGTCCCCAGGATATAACATATAAAGATGCATCAAAAAATTCCAGTCCAATGGAAAAACAGCTATTATAAAAATATGGGCGAAATACTAAGTGTTACAAGGTGGGAACATATCCATCAAACTGAAATCAGAGAATTTAGTTCAGATTTAAAGAAATAGTGATAGAACAAATAAAGATGGAAAGGGAATTATATAGAAATATGTACCATTATGCAGTCACAAAGGCAAAATTATTGAAGCACAAAGGAATTTACACATCAAGCGTGAATAGATCAAACTGTGACTAGATCATTGACTCGGATTGTATAAGAAACCACTGAGATGCCGTTCAGTGGCTCCTTACTTGGATGTTCCCATTTCCTGACATGAATGCTGAGGCTATCAAACGCTGCATTTCTAGTTCTGACATCTACCCTTATTTCAGATTTTTGTATGCCATATCTCCAGTTCTGGACATCTGCATTTGACTATCAATTTAGTATATATAATGCAAAAGTGCAGCCTATCTCGTTAAATGGTACCCACTTCAATGCCATTGCTCAGACAATAAATCTCACAGTGCTCTTCACTCCCTTATTGATTTCCCACGACTCATTCTTGCCTTTGGAAATCGAGTTGTCTCTGCTTTCAGAGCGTGTCCCCGATAGGACCATTCCTGCCCCAACTCCCGGCCTCTGCAGTAGCATCCTGGGAGCTAGGTCTACCTTTGCTCCGCCTCTAGCAGTTGGCTTTCCTGAAGCAGCCCAAACAATTGTTTCTCTTTCAGTCTTGTTCTGATTGTCATCTCTCCTGTGCTACAGTTTAATGCATCACTTTCCACATTTACTGTAATAAGACAGAAATCTCCATTTTTTATTCAAGGAACACATGAGGCTTACCCCATCTCATTAATTTCCCAAAACTCAAACATGTTAAATGATAAAACCAGAATTGGAATCAAACTTTATTTATTTCAAAATAATTTAATGTCTTACATAATAAAGTTGCACAGTTGCGAAGCCCGATTCCCAATATCAGGTGTTTTTTGTCACCATATGGAGGCTTGATGTGATGTGATATGGAGGCTTCTGTGTGACTGAAGACTTTTTAAGTTACTCTGAATTCACCTTTCATCCATGATGACAAGATAGTGTGACAGGCTGCATTATTTGTAGAAATATTTCATTTCATTTAACTGTGTCTCCATTTTCTCCATGGAGTCTCTGATTATTCAGAAAACTGTTATTATTTACACTATAGATTATTCCCTAGGGAAATTTATTTTAGTAACTATTTTTCTTACTAAATTCAAAATAGAAAATACCATTCAGTTGCTTAGTTCTTCTCATTCTGTCATGTTGGTGTGGCCAGACTAGATAACTTGAAATTTTGGGAGACATTATTTTCTTTCTTTTATGCATTGCTTTAAGGCTAATGAAGGACCTCCCCCAAATTTTATAACATTTGTTAAAAGGGTATCATCTTTTTGCCCCAGTAGAGTTGAAGATCACTGTACATTTTATCCATTTCTAACTATATAGATCATTAAATCTTAGAACTGGAATCTGTCCAAAAGTGATTCTTGCTCAGTTAAGTACACCGGGATTTTTCCACTAAATTTAAAATGATGTTGTTGTTCAGTGGCTCAGTCATGTCCGACTCTTTGTGACCTGTGCAGGCAATGTCTCCCTCAATAATCCCCAGCTTCAGTTCAGTTCAGTTCAGTCTCTCAGTTGTGTCCAACTCTTTGTGATCCCATGGACTGCAGCATGCCAGGCTTCCCTGTCCTTCACTGTCTCCCAGAACTTGCTCAGACTCATGTCCTTTGAGTCTGTGATGGAATCCAACCATCTCATTCTCTGTGTAGAAACACTACTAAACCGTATCACTGATTAAGGTCTGTAAGTTGTGATGAGATGGTTGGATGGCATCACTGACTTAATGGACATGATTTTGAGCAGGCTCTGGGAGTTGGTGTTGGACAGGGAAGCCTGGCGTGTTGCAGTCCAATGTAAGGAAAAATATCGCATAGAAACCTGGAATGTTAGGTCCATGAATCAAGGTTAATTGGATGTGGTCAAGCAGGAGATGGCAAGATTGAACATAGACATCTTAGGAATCAATGAACTAAAAGGGACTTGAATTTAATTGAGATGACCATTATATCTACTGATGTGGACAAGAATCCCTTAGAAGAAATGGAATAGCCCTTAGAGTTAGAAAAAAAGAATAAGAAATGCAGTACTGGGGCAATCTGTAAAACAACAGACTCATCTCAGTTTGCTTCCAAGGCAAACCATTCGACATCAGTGTAGCACAAGTCTATGTCCCAACTACTGAAGCTGAAGAAGCTGAAGTTGATTGACCCTGTGAAGACCTACAAGACCTTCTAGGTCTAACACCAAGAAAAGATATCCTTTTTATCACAGGGGATTGGAATACAAAAGCAGAAAGTCAGGAGATATTCAGAATAACAGGCAAGTTTGGTCTTGGAGTACAAAATGAAAAAGGGCAAAGGCTAACAGAGTTTTGTCAAGAAAACACACCGGCCATAGCAAACACCCTTTTAAATGACCCAAGAGATGACTCTACATGTGGACATCACCATATGGTCAATATCACAATCAGATTGATTCACTGCAGAACTAGACTGCAGCCATGAAGTTAAAAAACAATTGCTACCTGGAGGTAAAGCTATGACATACCTACAGCATATTAAAAAGCAGAGATGTCACTTTGCAAACAAATGTCCATATGGTCAAAGCTATGGTGTTTCCAACAGATGTGAGCATTGGACCATAAAGAAGGCTGCATGCTGAAGAATCAATGCTTTTGAACTGTGGTGTTGGAGAATACTCTTGAGACTCCCTTGGACTGCATGGAGATCAAAGAAATCAATCATACAGGAAATCAACCCTAACTATTAACTGGAAGAACTGACACTGCAGCTGAAGCTCCAACACTTTGGCAATCTGATAGAAAGGATCAACTCATTGGAAAAGACCCTGATGATGGGAAAGATTGAAGGCAAAAGGAGAAAAGAGGCAGCAGAAGATAAGGTGGTTAGACAGCATCACTGACTCAATGGACATGAATCTGAGAAAATCCGGGAAATAGTGGAGAACAGAGGAGCCTGGCATGCTACTGTCCATGAGGTGGCAAAGAGCAGACACAACTTAGTGACCAAACAACAAAAACAACGTGGGCTTTCCTGGTGTCTCGATGGTGAAGACTCTGCCTGCCAATGCAGAAGATGCTAGTTTGATCCCAGTTTGCACAGATCCTCTGGTGAAGGAAATGACAACCCTCTCCAGTATTCTTGCCTGGGAAATCCCATGGACAGAGGAGTCTGGCTGGTGACAGTCTGATGGGGTTGCAAAGAGTCTGACATGACTTAGCAACTGAGTATTCACACTTAATTGTCCCTATGTATATAAATCACCACTTTATTGGCATTCTGAACACCGACACTACTCTTCTCTTCATCAGATCCCTCATGGCATTTTTCACCTCTGCGTTTCTCACTGTGTAAATGATAGGATTTAACATGGGACTGAGGATTGCAGAGAACACAGTCACCCACTTGTCCACAGGGTACGTGGCCACAGGACGTGTGTAGGTGAACACAGAAGGCAGAAAGAAGAGCACCACTACTGTAAAGTGGGAGCCACATGTAGAGAGGGCTTTCCGCCGTCCTTCAGAGCCATGGGATTTCAGGGAGCTCAGGATGGCTATGTAGGAGATGAGCAGCAGGGAAAAAATGAGCAAGCACATGCCCCCACTGTTGGCTGCCACCACGATTCCAGGTATGTAGGTGTCGCTGCAGGCAAGTTCCAACAGTGAGAAGAAATCACACGTGAAGTGGTCAATGACATTGGGACCACAGAAGGTCAAGTCCATCAAGAAAAGAATCTGCACAGTGGCATGCAGGATCCCCCCGATCCAGGCCACCACCACCAGGAGCTGGCAGAGCCCCTGTCGCATGATGGTCGTGTAGTGCAGAGGCTTGCAGATGGCCACATAGCGGTCGTAGGCCATGACCGTGAGGACGATGACCTCTGATGCTGCCAGGAAGTGTTCTAAAAAGACCTGAGTCATGCATCCTCCCCAGGAGATGGTTCTTCTTTGATGAAGTAAGTCAACAATCAGTTTGGGGGTGGTGACAGATGTGAAGGAGGCATCTAATAAGGCCAAGTAAGTGAGAAGGAAGTACATGGGAGCAGAAAGCGTGGGGCTGAGGGAGATGGTGATGACAATGAGCAGGTTGGCCAGCACAGTGAAGAGGAAAATGAACAGAAAGACAATAAAGAGGATTTTCTGCACATGTGGATTCTGTGTGAGTCCCAGGAGAACAAATTCTGTCACATTGTTGGGAGGCCTGAGGACATCCATTCAGTAAGCAACAGCTTCCTGGGATAAAGAATGATACTCATTAATCACGAAAGGCTTGTGATCTGACTTTCTTAGAACAAAATCGTCACTGTGCAGCATGCCCTTGGAACTTTTGCCCTGTACTCATTTCAATTCTTTCTTATTTTCACCATGGTATTTTGCATCTCTTCAGACATCTAGTACCTGTCACCTGTAAAACATCAGTAGGGCCACATTTGATGTGTAATTTGCCAAGAAAACACTGGGCTTCCTACATGAGATCTGGATTCTCCTACTGGTTCCAACTCCGTTGGACTAAGTCACCTCAATGCCCCATGCTTCCCAAGCCCTACTCTGTGTCTGTGAAGTAACAAATTGCAATTTTCAGAGGAATCTTGAAAGCTGAGAAGTGCTATACACAAGAAAGAGTTCTTCTCTCTTCCATGAGAATTTATATTCCAACCCTCAGGTCAAACTATAGAAAGAAAAAAATATGATCAAGAAGTATCTATGACATGGAGGGAATTTAGTGAGGTGTATATACGTCCTTGGAGACGCAGTCTCCCCTGTACCTACCAGGACACATAAGCTATTCATCACTTACCATAGTGCCCGGAATGCCTGCACTGCCTGAAACCTAATGGGTGATGAGTAAGGGCTTGGTATTAAACGGCCATTCTCGAAGGGTAAGCATATGTCTGCTTCCCCAAACCATAAACTCAGCGGGAATTCCAGTGCTCTTGTCCTCCAACTCTGTTCATCTGTAATCTCTCTACTTTATAAGAAACATAAACATTTGAAAGGAAGCTACACTCCTGTATAACAGTTTCTGACACACTCCCGAGAGTAACCATGAAAGTATTTAATTGCTTCTAAGAAAGTACACATATTGGGTTATTTTTCTTTCAAGATAGTGTATTTGTTTATTGATATTTTTTATTCTTCAAAATTCTGCCCCACATACAATTTAGCATAGTTGTATTCTATAAATTTATAGCTTTAGAAGACTTGGGTTAAAACATAAACTCTTTCATAGATGTTCAACACACAAGGATCTATCAAGCATAGGAAATCCTTATTTTCAAAGCTTTAACAATAAAAATTTAACAAGGAGAATAGGAAAAAATACTCTGCCAGATAAATTAGAGTGATACCTAATACACTATACAAAAAACATATATATCAATACACCAACTATCAAAACATGTATAAAGTCCATTACTTACCATTAACTCTTACTACAGATTCCTTCATCAAACATTTATTGAACCCTTGCTGTGCACATTAATGTATATTGCTCACATAAAATCATGAAAAGTGATGCTATTGAATGAACTTAATCATTGAAATTGTATCATCAAAGCGGCAGCACATCTATCCATGACCTGCATGAGCTTCCCGCTCCTTTATGTTTCTGCTCCATGCATCCTCATGCCTCCTTCTCCTGTTTTCCCACAGCAGCCGTCTCCAATCATTCCTGGTTACAGGATGTGTAACTAATACAATTTGGGGTTATAAATTTGCCAAAGAGAAGAGAAATAAACATAATGAAACATATTCCATACAGCATGTCTTTTCAGAGATAAACAGATAGAAACATTATTTCTTTTAATTTTCCAAGATGAAAATTGTATGCATATGTGGGAACACAACGAACCAGCTTCGCTGAACTTCCTCCTTTGTTAGTGGGATCTCCCAGCAGATCACAGAAGAGACAGTGTAAATAAAGTAAGAATTAGACACAATTCACAAAAGTGCTTTATAAACAACTATGAAGCAAAATAAGTTACTTTTTAAATTTTTTTTAGCTCCATAATACTTTTTCTTGGAATAAAGCTTAATGTAAAATATTTTAAGGGAAACATCATTATGTACAAATATGGTCAGCATAGTCATTAACAGCTGTGGAAAATTTAGAAAGGGCGTGGAAGAAAAGGATAATGGAGAAAAAGACAATTAAAATATAGTGGATCTTTTTTAATAATATGCAGCTTTTAACAGAGATGCTTTTAAAAATTGTGCAATGTGAAAAAATTATCAGCTGTAATATTAAGTGAGGAAAATTTTGGATGCATATTTAAATTGTATAGTTATTCTAACTTATCTCATTGTAGCTAATTGTACTATTAGGTCAACTAATTTAAATACATATCAATAAGAAAAAAAGATTCTAAAATATTTTTACTTCTAAATTGCTAGTACTGTAGTCAATTCTACCTTTCTTGATGTTTTGCATGCTTAAGAAAGTTTGAAACCTCAGGTAAATTTGGATCAGCAGTGATGATATGATTTGAGACATACATTTATACCTGAGAATATATGATTATGTGATTTCAAAAAATAATCTCACCAGTGAGAGTGTCTGACCTACTGCCATGGCCAGGCCCCAGGCAGCTGTTAGTTCACCAGGAAAGAAGTAAAGTCATGAGATTAAAAATGCCAGCTCACTCAATGTCTCTTGATGGTACCTTTGGATAAGTCTTAAAAGCACTAACCATGTATCCTATTTGTGGGTAAAGTCTATGAAGTCTCTTAGTGTGGCTAATTGGAACTCATGGGTATTTCTCCATCATTAGCAGGTCTTGCTAACAACCAATTATTTCATAACAACATCAGAGAAATACTTTTATAGCTTTTTTTTTTTAATTTTAAACTTCATCTTTAAGTCTATGTGAAAACAAAGTGAAAAGTGTTACTCACTCTGTCATGTCCTACTCTTTGTGACTCCATGGACTATAGCCAATCAGACTCCTCTGTCCTTGGAATTCTCCAGGCAACAGTACTAGAGCAGGTTGGCATTTCCTACTCCAGAGGATCTTCCCAACTTAGGGATTGATCCCAGGTCTCCTGCACTTGGGCAGATTCTTTAAATCATAGTCACAAGAGAAAAACATAGGAAGAAGTTGACCACTTCTGGACTTGGATATTTGATAGTGAATGAGCTTAAGTACAGAGTCTGAGTATTTGCTACTTATAAATTAAATGTTTTGGGGCACTACTATTAGATTTTTAAATATTTATTATAATATTTTATTTTGATGAGATGGTTAAATAGCATCACCTACTCAAGGGACATGAATCTGAGCAAACTCCCAGAGATAGTGAAAGATAGGGAAGCCTGGCGTGCTGTAGGCAATGGAGTTACAGTGAGTCGGGACACAGCTTAGCGACTGAACACAGTTTTATTTTAACTGATCTACCATTCATGATAGGCTCCTCTGTTGGCTCAGCAGTAAAGAATCTGTCTGCCAGTGCAGGAAACGAGTTCAACCCCTGGGTCAGGAAGATCCCCTGGAGAAGGCAATAGCAGCCCATTCCAGTAGTTTTGCTTAGGAAATCTCATGGACACTGGAGCCTGGAGGGCTAGAGCCCACGGGAGAGCAAAGACTAGGACACTCCTTAACGACACTGCTCAACAACATCGACGACCACTCACGGTAGCCGTAATTTCTAAATACTGTGTTCAGCTGTAAAGTGATTATTATGAACCTCATTATAAATTTAGCACTTCATACCAGATAAATTTTATGGTACTTCTGCAAAGTAGTTGTTTTTTGTGTCAATTTTGAAATTAGATTAAGATGATAATGATATATTCAGAGATAGTAAAATGCATTTGTCATTTAAACATAATCTTATAATATCCATATAAGACATTAAAAGTAGGAAATAATATTCAGAATTTATATAGTAAAACATAAGAAAGGGAATAGGAACACATTTACCATGAAGAAATAAGAAACCAGGCCATTAAAACCTGGGACAGGACTATTATCTTTAAATTATGTTTTATGACTAAAGTATTGTGATATTCATACATTGCCACCAACTGTGAGGCCCATTATTATTATCTAGTAAAAGAGATAAAACTGATATTAAAATTATTTGGTAAAAAAATTCAATTCAATTTAGGAATGCTTTTATATAAAGCCAAACTTACTTAAAGATGTTCAAATATGCTTTAATAAGAAGAAAAATAAATTGTAGATAACTCTAGATTGACTCCAGAGAATGTAGTCACTATGATCAGCATGTATCAATGAAGGAAAACATTTTAAGAAAACTAAAAACACATGACCAAACATAGTCTGACTGGACGCAGTAATATTATAGTTCTGCAATAATATCTGTGATAGCAGACAGTTTCAATGAGGATTGTAATCTGTCTGAAGATCTATAAGGGTCCCTATGTGGCACTAGTGGTAAAGAATTTGCCTGCCGACGCAGGAGACTCAAAAGACATGGATTTGATCCCTGGGCTGGGAAGAACTTCTGGAGAAGGAAATGGCAACCTGCTCAAGTATTCTTGCCGGGGAAATCCCATAGACAGAGGAGCCATATGGATTTTGTTGAAACATCATCATGAAAATGTCTTGGACTATTCTTTAAACTCTGAAATGAAATCAGAATCAGATCAGAGAACCAGTATGTACCGACAAAATTATCACTCCTAACCTCAAAAACGTCTGAAATCCATACACAACGGCCCATTGAGCATCGTCCACCCTCTGCTTAAACCGAAAGGAAACATTTTTAGTTGCTATGATACAAAAGAGGTTCTTATAAAATCTGATATCCTTCGAAGTGGCTTAAAGAGCATCAGATTTTAACTTAGAAGGATGCAGATCTGAGTACCAGTTCTATCTCTGAAAGCAGATGGATTATTGAACTTTTTTGAACTTTTTTGTTCATCATTAAAACAGGAATGATCACAATAAAGTTAAATCACAATAATACCTGCCTTACAGAGGTGCTGTTAGTGTCAGGTGAGAGGTATGAGAAAGACTTTCTAGTAATAAACTATGAAAGTGTAAACATTATGATTAGAATAAAATCTTCATATTAGGTCATTTACTAGCTGAAATCGCATTTCTGTTTAATACATTCTAATGGCATTTTTTTAACCTTCATCCTTCAGCCCTTGACAATCAATATTCTACTCGCTGTTTCTGAGTTTTGCTTTAAATTCCATGTAAATGGATTTTATACGAATCCATATAAATGGATTCATACAGTATTGGTCTTTTTATTTCTGCTTATCCTCTTAGCATAATGCCCTTAAAGTCCCATCATGTTGTCACAAATGGCAAGATTCCCTTCTTTCGCATTACTGAATAACATTTTACTTATATATATAAATACATGATATTATATTACATTATTACTGTTTTATTTGTATGTATATTTAATATGTTAATTTATATAATATTATTCATTTACAGCCTTATTTGTATTATGCATATATAACATCTTCTTTATCCACTCGTCCATCAGAGTACATTTTACTTTTTTCCAGGTGTTGGTTATCGTGAATAATGCTTCAGTGGACATGGATGCGCTGATATCTTCAGATTCCTGACTTCATCACTTCTCGGCCTTTTGGCTAATATCAAATGCAGATTCCTGACATCACGCTCTTTGGTTAATACATGAAAGTAGGATTGAAAAATTATACAGTAGTCATATTTA